AGAATGATTGTGAAAGACACCAGACTGTTATGTTGTGTTACATTGTGTTACGTTTGTAATTGGATTGAAACTGATCGAGGACCTGTGTCGGACAGACAGACAGACAAATGCAGTTTGAAATGTTTGCCAAGCTTATTAGTGTTCTGACAGGATATTTATAGCATTGGGCACTGTGTCACTGTCACATGGACTGACGCTGGAATCATGCTATAATTTGTGTCTGTGTCTGTGTGTGTGTGCACTTCCAAAGCAAACTGTGGAGTATATCAGATATCTACTTATCATTAAGTAGAAACATTGGCTCTAAAAGAACAGGTTTAATCAGTGACTAAGGGAAACAGTTCAGATGGGGTGATGTCATGCATTGCTAGGCATCTGGCATGTTCACCATCAAGCATTAACGCAAAATATTTTTTTCCTGAAACTTAATTTAGTCTGGTATCTGCTTTTCCTCCACAGGCACCAGTGTTCATACAAGGGTTCCTAGTTCAAATGTGTAGATGTCCAAACTTGACTGGCAGAGGTCAGAGGGTCTTGAATTTTGGAAGTGGTGATAGTAGCTGAAGGATGACTGTCTTCTTCAGTGTGACCTTTGTAGCATCTGAGCTCACTGAACATGAGCTGCTCAAATTGCTACTTTCAAGCCAAACAGGAAATATGAATATACAACCCTCATTACATCACTTTCACATTGTCACATCCTTCTCAGGACACATAGAGGACATTATCAAGCTATTTCCACAAGCTGAGTAAGCATGACACGTGCTGCCATTTAATTTGTGATTTCAGTATGAGACCCCAGAATAGCAACCATGGTCACCTGCAGATAAATGCCAATAGACTGACAAAGCTGTGGGAAAGGAAAGGATCTAAGTAGAGGGACGTGGTGGTTTGTGTGGAGTGGTCTTCACTTGACCCTCCTCTCCTACTGGAATTTTCCATGGAGCAAATGGCAGACAGGGCATACAAATAATGCCTCAGAGTGAACTTGATTTAAATAGATGGCTCTGAGGGGACAGGGACTAGTATCTCCAACCATCCATATAAACCCTCATACCCCTCACCCTGCTGCCCAACATGTTTGTAAAGGCCCAGGCCTATTGTGCCGCACGTTGCTGCCCAACCAAATAAGGTTGATACTGTGTGTGTGTGACTTTCACAGCAACTCACGCCGGCACGTCAAGTGAAGGAGACTAAATAAATCGAGCTCAGCAGCTGAAGGGTTAACTGCTTTATCTCTCTCCTGTCAACATCTTTCTCCAGGACCTGGCCAGTGTTACCAGTTCACATGAAGGGAATCAGTTCTGACCTCCTTCCTCTCTGCATGTTGACTCAATATTATTCATACCCTGAAAATACTTTCCTGAGGTACTGCACTCAGGCCATATCTATTTATATTTAGGGTATTTACCAAGGATATAATTTAGGGCAAAATACACCTAAAGGCAAACAAAACAACATGCTAATTTATTTTTCGCATCAGCCAAAATAATTGACGGTCCAGGCGAGTTGAGACCAGGAGGCAGAGTTATAGTCGTGCATTCTTCTCTGTGATTCTATAAGAGCAGTCACCCCCCAAATAACCTATACTGGGTAACAGAACCAAACATTCAAACCATAAAGTAAGTATGGATTATTATATATTAGTTCACTCAGATCTACTCTCTACTGGTCAATGATCTGATACAGATCAACACATTGATTTACTCTGTGTGACTTAAACCTGCGGCTGCAACAAGGAGAACAGTTAGTAATTGAATCAACATCCCCCTATTCATATTAATGCTCATATTCCTCAGAGCAGTTTGCAGCAATTTTTAAATCTGATTTATCAATCAACCCTCGACTGAAAGGTTATTATAGATCATTTGAAAGCCTCGGAAATCAACGCTGGAAACCACAATAACAGTTTAACTAGTTATTTTATATTGTACTTACTCTGAATGTTTTAAACACATATTCTGACACACAACTTGACTCGCACTCATACACAGAGTGAACACAAGATGCCAGTACGACACAGTGAAGCAGATGAAGTGACGTTCACTCGAGTGGAAAACTAGACTCATTCCTTTTTGTTCAGAAAGTAAAAGGACAATACAGAACTTTATTAAAACACATGTTCAACAAACACAGAGACTGTAGAGAATGTAGTTTCATCTGTTTGGTCCTCAGTCTGCAGGAGTAACCAGTGCCCTCTTTCAACCAGTGGTACATACAGATTCACAGCAGCAGAGAAGACTGACACTGACTCATGTCATCTACAAACAGTATTACAATGAATTTATCTGGTCCTGCTGGAGCTCTAGATCACCGGATTCTGTCAGTTTCTATACAGCCACACCCTTTCTGACCTTCGTGACACAACGAGGGGCCCTAGCGCCGAATAGACAAATTATTTCACATCGCTTTCATCTCTTATTCTGCACAGCAATACATTTTGATCATTTGAAGTCTCTCCTATTCAAATAGCTCTGAAGTTTCATTTACAATGATTTCTTCATTTCTATAGCCATGTCTTTCTTCTGGTGTTTCTTTGATCTGCTCAAGGAGAAATCGATCTGCTCCAAATTGGGAGGTGAAAGGTCAGCCCCACTGAAGCTGGTTATTTCAACACAGAGGCTGCAGCAGAGATTATTACTCAAACAGGGCTTCCTCAGCTCTGTGTTGGAAATCCTCAAGTGTGATGACTGGATCAAGAACAGAGACTCACATGCAGGAATCAGGCAAAGTTCACATCAATAGTCTAAGTTTTAATGCAGGCAGGGTTCACACACAGGAAGACCAAGGTTATTAAAAAAATTAAAACCAGAACAAGGCAGCAAAAGTAACAGGGCACAAGCAGTCTCTGAAACAAAAAGAGCCAATGTTTATACACAGGAGGGCTACACAAGGAATGAATGATGGAAAGATCTTCATGAAGTACAGAGAGGTGTGAGCAGGTGTATAATGGGTAACTCAGGGGTGATGAGGTGGGTGCAGTGGTGGGAAACTGAACAATAGAAGGAAGTGAGGCTGGAGTCCATGAACAGAGTGAATGAAAAACTAGGTTTAGTCATCTATGGAGGCTGACACTCATTGATATAAATATTAGAGTACTTAACCAAGTGTTGTTATTTCACCCAGTGCTGAAAATGCTTTCTGGGGGAAACCAAACATCAACAGGTTTTAAAATCTACTCGTAAAACCAAAAGTAAAGGGGGGGATTCAAATTAAACACAGTTAACAGGAACAAATGGGGCATGATAAATGCTTCTTAGTTATAGTGAGGCCAAAGAGCTCCTACATTGACATGCAGACATTTTACTGCCATCCCTCTGATTAGTGGACGACCCGCCGTGTGAAATTCACTCATAGACAGAACAGTAGTTTGTGCAGGTCATTGGCAGCTGGGATGCAGGTGCACTTGGTTCTCTCTGCAACCGCATGATGTGGCATTACATGAGCAGCTGAAATGTAACCAGATGGTTGGTGGTTTCCAGCTTCTCCAGTCTGCATGTCAAACTGTCCTTGCCCAGTGTGTGATATAAAAAAGCACTCCACCACTTTGAGTGGTCGATAAGACTAGGAAAACACTGTATAAATACAGTACATTTATGTTATACTGGAGATTTTTCAGGTGAGCAAGCGTTTTATTATGGAACCTGATCAACTGAAGTGGGTGAAGTAAGAAAAATGTGCCTTCACAGCAAATCATGTCCCTGTTATTCTGGATAATCCACAAACCTCATAGTCAGTTGTTTAGGGATTACAATTCTGGTAGAAAGTTGATCCAGTGAGTGGGGTTGAGACAGAAAACTCAAAAACTCTCAGATCTCTAAATCAAAACCCTGTGTTAACAAAACCAAGAACTTAATTTACACCTCTCCCATTTAAGTGCATTTCTCATCCAGAATGTATCTTGGCATGGTTTTAAGATTATATATTTACACCTGGGATGGCACAGTGGTGCAGAGGTTAGCAGTACAAACATATTAAGAACTGCAAGGCTAAGTTAATCATAAAAGTAAAAAGTAAATGAATAAATATATCAAAATAAATAAATAAACCAAATGTACATTCAGTATGACCTCATCATAAATGTATCATGCATTCCTCAAACACAACTGCAGACTCAATGTCCAAAATGGGACCTATTCTGAAAATGTTTCTGTGTGTATTCATTTGAATGTGTAATAATTAGTAAGTAAGAGAGATAGTTCTTCATTGTATTTTTAAAGGGATAGTTCACTGAAAATTTACTACCGATGGAGGGGTAGTGTTTGAGTCCACAAAACACTTTGGGAGTTTCAGGGGTAAACAGCATTGCAGTCAAATCCAATACAATTGAAGTAACTGGCACTGACAACAGACAGGACGCTTTGATGACAACACAGTGTGGAGCATGGAGGCATTTTATGTTTTTTGACATCGGCATAGTGGTGAGTAGATAATGAGGGAATTTTCATTTTTGTGAAAACTATCTCTTTAAGACTACATAAATATGTTTGTGTCTTTTTTCCAATTTGCATATATGAATTTGATATTTTCCCATAATTATATTTATCTCGTCCTGGGGGAGGGATTATCTTTGTAAATTTGATGTGTATTGAATGGTGTTCATTTTCTATTTTAATACACAACAAAAATTGTTGTCTGACTGACATGAATAAGCAAGATGTCCAATAGTTTCAGTGATTAACTTCAAAACCATATTGTTGTTGCTAGTCTCTCTGTGTGTGTGTGTGTGTGTGTGTGTGTGTGTGTGTGTGTGTGTGTGTGTGTGTGTGTGAAGGTACAGCAGAGGGACTGTCTGCTGGCTCTGCAGAAACTGTTTCCACATTCCCTCCAGAACAGCATGGGTCGGGTTTTCCAAAACAAACACACGCACACGTGACCACGCACACACGCTATGTGGAACTTCACTCAGGTAATAATCCAGCAGTGGGCTGCACATGAGACCCGCAGGTTTGCACACATTCACACGTTTTGCGCACACAATCTTTTTTTCTCACACTTACTCTCTGACGGGTAGAAGGGATACATGTCGATCTTGTGCACCTCCTTGGCGTAATACTCCTCCTCGCTGCGCTGCCGCTCGCACGTCGCCGCCCGATCGTTGGCTTTCTCCTGCAGCAGGTCCCTGGTGCTGTTGTATATGGCCACAATGTCCCGGGACACCTCCTCGGGCTCGGGGAAGTCCACCGGGGGGCTGGTGAGCTTCAGCTTGCTCAGGATCTGCCCTCGAATTGCCTCGATGCGCTTCTTCTTGAACTGATCCATGTCCAGCGTGCTGCATGTGGACAAACTGAGCGCCACAGTGGCTAAATCCAAAGTGAGCAGAAGACTGACGATACACAGGTTCATCTTCTCCACGTGTATGTGTCTTCAAATTTCAAACAAATAAAAGCAGATCCTGGAGGGATTTTACCGCGGCGATTTAAATATCGCCATGCAGATGCATTTCTTGCGCAGAAATCAAAGTGGAGAGCATTTACGCAGACTGGCCGAGTGGCCAAAAACAGGGAGTTGAAAACTTTTCTGGTTCCAATACCCCAGTTTCAGTTAAGTGTCCCTGAAAATCCATTCACATTTGTCCAGAGGAAAAGAGATCCAGGTGATCTATTCCTCACAGTGGGTGTGCGCAGCCTTGAGGCGCAGCAAGATGTTGACGGAGGCAGATCTAAACTCTATGGATGAAAACGGGGGAGTTAAAACAGCTGAGTGTTACCGTCAGCGGGGCGCATAGCTGCGAGTACACCTCCACCGCATCAGCGCTCTCACCACTCTTCATCTCAGGTTTCTGTGCTAAACTTTAGCGATTAGTTGTTATGACGCAAGGTGCCAACTGTGTAATGTCGCGTTACGGCGAAATGAGAAATCCGCTCAAAGTAGCGGCTCCACTCTGACAACGAACCTTTCTTCGGAGGTAGCTCGCTGACAAAAAAGCTCGGAGTTTGTGTTCGGAGCGAGTGCAGTTTCTTACGCGTCTTCCCCAGCCCCATCTAGCTGGGCTCGACTCGTCTTTTACGCGTGCCAAGCGGACAGCGGCGGACGCTGGCAGGAGATGCGGCTAAAGGTTCAACGTGTTTCCCCTCCACACACTTCAAACCGAGACTGTGGTCATCGCTGTGGAAGCAGGGGACCGCTGCAGCTCCACGTTACGAGGCGGTTTGGTAAATAGGAGTGCTTGCTATGCCCATTGGGACAGCGCTGCAACTGCTAATGGCCCATTGGCCTGAGGTGCGTCGTGACGCAGGGTCCTAAAGCCGATCACTGGGAGGTTTGCGAAACTTTTTGAACGATTCTGCAGAAACACCTCTCCAGTTTTCTGTACGTGACACTGTTTCCCTCCATGTTGGCCTTTCTTTCACTTGTCTTACCTGTTGTTTTCCAACAAATCAGATCTGGTGATCTGACACTGTAGAGTGCGGAATGTATTGTTGACATCTAAATGTTCTTTGTGCTGGGATATTCATATTTGAACGTTATTCATTTTTCGATTTTTACTCACTTACCCCATTATTATAGGTTCATTACCTCTGTGTAAAAGTGCGTTTGAGGTTTACTGCCACTGTAAGTGTGTCTATTTACTTTATCCACATTACCACAGAAGCTATTAGGAACTTGCGTTGTTGAGCTTATTGTGCTGAAATAAACAAAATAACATTTAACACAGATTTCAATGACATCACAACACCATTTAAGAAGACAATGTGTAGAGCAACAGTGCCCACCAATTCACATGAATGGATTGTAGCTACATGCAATCATTTTTTTTCATATACTGAGGGTTTAAAAGTTAAAATTGTGATTTTAAATCAACACAAACAGGAGCAAACTGAGACAATAATTCAGGCTGGGAATTTGACTTCATCCCATAAATCTGTTGGCTGACTATACTTTTTAAAGTAACAGCTACCAGTCTACTTACACACTCTCTTTATAAGACTTAGGATTTCATTAAGAACCATTTTCATTCACCTGTCCACTGACTGGATGGCTTCAGCGGTACCATGATGTGCTTCTCCAGCCATTTCTCCTCTGAGCACTAACACAGGAGCAGGTGTTTGTCAGTTGGATTTATGTCCACACCCCTCAGAAAATCCCACTTTTCTAATTATTTGCAATGCTCTATTGGCAGCCCTCCATGGTGTGCCCCATCTAAGCCGGCCATCCATCAAGCCTGACAGTCCTAATCTGCTGCAATCCTGATGGTGTCACTAAATCTCTAGCCACACTGACAGATGTGAGACAAGGAATGGTGCGTGTCTCAGGCTATGTGGAACATACACAAACGACCTTTGTTATTAATAAGGCTCTACACATCAGCACTCTCTGCCAACCTAATCCGTACAAAGGTTTGAAAACAACGTTATAGAACAGGTTTATGAAAACACAAATCTCAGTCTTTAGCTCACAAATGAGCTTTTATTGTTTTTGTCTCAATATCAAAACAAATATTGGGATTGTTTGGCAGAAACACTTCAGACAAACTATTACCGCTCAAGGTCCACTTGCTAAAGAGTTTTCAACCATAATATGCTGCCTTCTTCAACAAACAAGAGTTTAGAGTTTGCTCCTCCTTGGTTCAGTACCTAACACCTTTCTTCAGCCCCAAATACTCACTACAGAAGCTAATATGCAACATTCCACAGCAGGAAATAGTTCCCAACAGATGCACAATTTCCTCTGGTTTGCCTGATACAAATTAAAAGGGAGCAGCTGTTCTAGTAAATTACTGAGACTCCCGTAGTACCATGAACAGACTGTAGTCCAGTGGACAATAAGAGCACAGAGCACTGTGGGTGATACATGGCATGGCTGTTTATTCAACTAGCACTGTACAAAACATTACTATTTACAGAGTTTCCAAGTAATAACATGAACCAATTGATGCTGACTCTGTGATGAAAGGCCAGAGCTCCACTCAGAGGAGCTTCTTTCACTTCTTCTAGTCCACATACTCTCTCCAGGGCATAGACTGTCCCCTCCCAGCACAACTATTCACCAACTTATATCACAGTGTAACCTGCTATAAAAACGTTTTCTTGTGTTTAAAGTCATTATAGAACTTTTATAGAACTTTTCCCATCTTAGTCTGGGTTCCTTTACCCAGCCTATTCCCGCAGAAGGCACCTGAGCCTGCTCAATGCAGTCCCTCCAGTCTGTGTAGCTGTTGTCAGTCTGAATCACTATCCTCTAACCCCGCTGCTGAGTGTGGCTCAGTCTCCTCTTCTTTGTCACTGTCTTTGTCCCAGTCCTTCATGGTGGCTCCCATCATGAAGTCATCTCTGAGGATGCTCCAGGCAGGCTTCTCCTCTGTCGCAGCAGCCTGCACATGCACAGAGACAACGCACGAGTTCAGTGAGTGCTTTTAAAAGGCAGCAGTGACACCATGTGAGCACTCAGTGAAATTACATTTTATTACTTGGTGAGAAATGTGTTAGGGCTGGGTGATATGACATCCAATAAATATCATGATTATTTCAAACTTTCATCTCAAGTACGCTAAACAAGCGATTATGTTATGCCACCCCCCCACACCCGGATCATGATCTGACTGACAGAATGAAACAGTAGCACAGGCCCACACTGGAGAGAGAATGAGCCATGCAGCTTTCCAAAGAAGACCTACAAATGAGTAATTGTCGTTTAGAGTGTAGTGCCGTATCAGTTCTGGAGGCAACAAACAGAGAATTAGATATGACTGAACTCACAGTGTCGGTCGGTGTGCCGGTGCCTCTGCTTCCTTCCTCAGTCCTCCTCAGCACATCGATGAAATCCTTCTTAGAGACAGTCCCAAGAATCTTGGCTTTCTTCCTCTCTGAGCCACCCACTTCCTTCACCTTGTCATCCACATTCTTCTGGTGTTTCTTCACAGCATTGAATAGCTGCACCACCCCTCTGAGCAGAAAAACACACGGTCACATCTGGACGGAATGATAGTTCTGACTATGTCAAACACAGCCTCATAAGAAACGACTAGATACCTGGTAGCTATCCTCTGTAGAGCTCTCTCAGTCTCTCTGTCCACCACTACGTCTGGTTTCTCCCTGCTCATCATCTCCCACGATCGCCTCTTGTCAACCTGTTGGACACAAGCACAAATACAGTATGTACACATATACAGTATGTACACATATACAGTATGTACACATATACAGTATAATAAATATATGGTTAGGTTGTGAAAATCATTTTTGGTTGATCACACTGATTCACTCTTTGTCACATCAGACCTGACACTTGTTTCTCACAGTCTCAGAGTGCTTTTAAATGTTTCTCACTGGGAAGAGGGGGTCTCATTTATCGAACAACTAAAGATCCATACTCAAAACGTACATGCGCACAAAAAAAAACGAAAATGGCATTCACCAAAAAATCTGATATAAAAAGTGCACAGCTGAAGTCAATGTTTCCTATAAATCAGTGGACTTTGAAACGTGTGCACGTAGATCTGGCACATATCCGACCCTCTACACAGCCACACTCAACCATTCATGGTGAAAGCAAAGCACTTCATGAATGTGAAAACCAGATAACCTTGCTGATCAATGTTTTTTATGGTGAATTGTGGCATCAAGCAAGAAAAGGCCCAACTTGTCTGACACTGGAATTGAGGAGCTTGTGAGTGAGGTGTTCGGTGGCCAGAGTAGTGGGATCACCAATAAAAGAAAATCACAGTGTAAAGTGCTGCTGCTGCTGCTGTGGTTAATGCAGTGACAGGACAGTTTACATTGTTAGAATGTGAGGGAGCTTGTTGTACTGCCACAACACATTTTAGTATTCCCATCCAAAGCTGCAGGTATTATTAAAGCTTAAGGGAAGTCGCCGATATCCCAGACAAAATTATTATATTTCCAAAAGGGGCTTTAGACAGGTATATATTTTACAGTGTAACACACACTTTCACTTGGCTCATTACCTGTGTCTTTTTCTCTTGCTGCTCCTGCCTCTCTCTCTCCTTCATCTTGTCCAACTCTTTGTTCTTGACCAAGATGATGCTTTTGTTCTCTGCAGTTTTCTTCCCCAGGATCTTTGCCATGGCTTCCGCCCATCCAGCATTGGTGTTACCCTCCTCTTCCTCCTTGTCGTTGTCATCATCATCATCGTCTGCTTCCTCTCCATTGCTCCCTCCATCATCTAACCTTTCATCCTTATTCTCTCCTTCAGAACCACTCTGGTCATCGCTGTCCTCACACTGAGGCTCAGCATCGTCCTCTGTGTGACACAAAAAGAGTAATACTTATGTGAATATATGGAAAGATCACTATAAAAAATAACAGCATTATAAGTGTAACATTTAAAGTAAAAGAGACTATGAAGAGACAATGGCCAACACTGGATAATTGAAATTGTGTGCTCATGGATCATCTCCATCTCCCTCACTGAAGAATTTACTCCACATACATACAGTTTTCCTGTTTTGTTTTCATTTGCAATCAAATCTATGGAGTTGTTTCTGATGAATGATTTAACATCATCTTCACTAGAACTGTCAGCTCACAGCACAGAGGACGTGCAGTCTGTGCACAGCCTCGATTATAAATAAAGTTTGTTCAAGAGGAAAAACACTCAGGGTGTGGGATTATCTATCCTAACTCCTTTAGGCTTCTCCTTCACACCTTTCCTTGACCTCGCGATGTTTTCCTTTGGTATCGAGGAATAGTGGGTAGGAAAGTAGATTGGACACTCCGACCGCAGCCACAGACATGAATTGTACCAACACACAGCCACAGCAGCAGATGAGATAAAGAGCAGCAGAACACAGGAAGCAGCTCGCTCCTCGACACGTCGTGATTTTCACACAAAAGCAGAACTCACCTGGCGTCTCCACATGTTTTTCCATCACCGCTGCCATCATGGAGTTACAATAACTATGGTCCGTGTGCGACAACTACTAACATGCGGGGGTTCCGCCACAGGAACGGGCCGTTTCCGGTCCATGCGTAAATACGTCATTGGCCCACGCTGTACGTCACTGCGGTGGGGGAGGTCCAAACCCTGACACATGACATTTTTTTCTTTATTAAATCATATAAAACTACAAACTAACAAGACACAGTCATATTTTCTTGATCAAACAATAAAGCCTCAAGTTGAGCAATAACCTAATGATTAAAACTAATACGAAAGCACATCAGGAAACAAAAATCCAAATAAGAAAAAAAGAAAAGCTGAAATAGGGCTATCTCACATTAAATAACTATTATATCTAGTAATGAAAGCAGCATAAGTGCTTTCTTGTGATGTGAATAAAAGTTTTAGCTCATTATGAATGATCTGTACTTGTGTACGTAAAACAGCACCAGCATAAGATAAAGGGAACAATAAAAATGATAATTTGGTTGTGTCCATTGTCAGGGGAGGTAGTTTGTTCATTTTATTTATATTTGAGTGTAAGAAATAATTTATTAATACACTTTAATGTGTGTGCTCTAGTAAATGCAACCAACCCCAAACCTGGAAAGACTTTTGATTACGATCATTTTTAGAGACTCCAAGCTTCCTGAATGTTGAGGTAACTGATGTTTATCAAGTGTTCACTTCTATTGTTTTGCAGGTGGAATGTCCTTTTTGATTTGCTCCACCGATAAAAACAGGTTTCACAGCATTCTGTCACAGCCTATCAATGCAAGGATATCCACACTCTGAGTAAAGGCCCCTTTGCCCTCTTAAGCTGAGCTGCCTCTCAGGTGGAAAAAAACAGTCTTGTCCTGCATATCACTGCCCATAAATGACGAGTTTTTTTTAAATACCAGCTGATACCAAGAAATACCATGTCATATGGCACTGCATCATTCAATCTTGGTATTGTTGTCTGAGAAAGAATCAGTGTGAATATAAATATCTCAATTTATGCTGCTGATCAATGTCAAATTTGTATCATGTTGAACAATATTTCCTTAATTCCATGAAAATTCATCTGTTACACCCAAGTGTACGGTTGTCTCAACAAGTATATCTGACAATAATCCCAATGTCCAGTTGGATATTTCTCTACAGCTGTTCAGACATGACCTTATAAACACATTTTTTACATTATATTTCTTCCACCACACTACAGCTATTATAAAAGTGTGGATGTACATGAATGTTAACTGAAACTTAACTGTTGGAGGCATGCGTTTTGATTTTTAATAACCCTTGCAGTTACATGACAAAGACACTTAGATTCTCAAAAATACACATTATTCAAATGCAGTATTTAATGTATAAAAACATTTTAGTACAAACATTGGACAAAGTATAGTAACATAGAGACCAGGTCAAATGACTGGAGTCAAACATGAAAGTCTGTCCCTTTTCTGATCGTGGTGATGTCGCTCAGTACAGCAGTGTGGCTCAATTATGCATTTTACTAGTTTTCACACACACGCACAGAGTATGTAAGAGAGAGAGAGAACTGATTAGTTTGGCACATTCATTGTGACAAGAAGAGAAGGTAGAATATCCTAAGGCAGGTATTAAAACAGATATTTCATGTAAATGACATAAACTCACAGACAACATTTTTCACAGTACATGTTAAAATGGATTAGTCATAGCAAACACATAAGCCACAGGCAACTGCAGTCCAATGTTGACTATGTGCCATTTACCCATTACTAATGCCCCAAACACTAACCCTGCTATTGTTCCCAAGGTTCCTGGCCATGAGGACCACCTTCCAGCCACAGCTGATGCTCCACCCACTGACACCCCTGCTGCCCCCACCACGCCAAGCAGTGCCCCAGCTTTTCCCCCTTCTCCAAGAGCTGGAGCCAAACCCTCCACCCCGGCCAGTAAACCACCCGCCACTAAAGCAGCCCCTGCTATGACTTTCACATCTCCAGCTGCATGCCTCACTAGAGGCCCACCCACTGCAGCCCCTAAACCCAGCTGACACATTTTTGCCACAAAGAAAGCTGCATTCAGTGCTTCCAAAGAGGATTGGTGGTTCATACGAGTTCTAATGTTTTCTCTGGACTGAGGCTGCCCTGCTGCTTCCATCTTCATGGCCGATGTTACGACCAACTGCCCGGCGTGTAGGGTGAGCATGGCGATGACAAACGTTGCCAGCATTCCCATGCATCCCACCAACATCCAGAACTTAAAGTCAGAAGACTTTAGAAGCAAATAGGCTATGACTGACACCAAAACCAGAAGCACTATGAGCACAGACTGGTGGCCTCCATAGCCTAACACCCCAAAACTTGATGTTACTATGGCAACCACTGTCATTGGTATCCCTGAGAAAGCCAAGAAGTCCACATGTTTGACCACCATGGTGTTGATCCAGTCTTGGACGGTTCTTTGGTCCAATTCTGCTTCTTCACTCTCCATCTTCTTCCTCTCTATCTCTTCTCTCTTCCTGCGTTCAGTGGCCCATGTTGTCTTGTGGTCTATCCCACCGGTGCCGCCTCCCTGCTCCAGCATCAGGATCCTCTGCTCTATCTGCACAGCCACCCTTTGTTTCTGCTGAAACTCTGTAACCTCAATCTGTTCCCTTTCTCTGGCCAAAGCTTCAGATCCCAGAGTGCGACAGGCCTCTCCCTGCTTCCAGAGGAGCTTTAGTAAAAAGTGCACGGGTGGTTTGAGTATGGTGAATATGCTCAGCGCCCACAGAAGGCCCACCATGCCATAATTCTTCACAATCCATTCAACAGCAACCCCAAGTGTGGCTCCACTGAGAGTGCTCCCGAAGGCCCCAGCCAGTCCTGCCGATGCCCAAACGCCACGAGAGTGTCTTTGGGAGGCGCCGCAGCTCCTGGTGGCCACGGACACTGACGCTACCATTGCAGCTAGAATCACACCAGCTACTACAGAAGTCATGGCTGTGGTTAGTGCTGTGGCTCCTATAAGGGTCCCCAGCCCCAGAGCACCTACTGTCCTGACTTCCTCCATCAGTGGTTTCAATGTTTCTGCTGCAGTCATCATTAACAGGGTCTGGTCCACTGGCTCCTCTGTGGCTCCCATTATGCAGCCTCCCACAGCTCCTAGTGCAAACCCCACAGCTGCCTCAGTTAAAGGGCTCCTAGCAGCTGAGATATGACAAAAAAAGGTCTATAGTTTTTTAGGTTTGCCACAACTTGTTATGCACGATTGATTGAGATATTATATATTTTGACTTCACCTTTGCGTTGTCTTGCACCATGCAGCCTTTCACTGCACACTGCACTTGTACATGGATGTATCAAGTAAATTAAGATTTATTATGGACATTATTTATTATGCAGATTGAAATGCTCTCAGTGACTGAAGCTTTGAGCTTTAGTGTTAAATAATAAAGAATGGTTGAGTTCTTCATTCAGATGTAACAGTTAATGGCTTATCTGACTCCCTATTGTGTGATATGCAACTGCATCACCTTGTGCAAGTAAAGCATGACAACCCTGCAGTCAGAGACTCACCAGACTGGCTGATCTGGTTTTACCACCACGCTGCCATGATTCCTATCTCTACACACTCCTGACTCCAACAATTACATGACACTATGTCTACTGCTAGTCAAGGCAGAGAAAAGGGAACAAAAAGTATGTTTAAATATAGTAACCTGTTCAAAGTTAGGAACAATTATTTGTATTCTTAACTTGCAAAAAATAAAGGCAATGGATGTATGATCACAAAATAAGCACCTAAGCTGTTTTAAGCTGTTTTATTCTGCAGTGGTAACAATCACACAAACCTTCAGTCATTATCACCGAGCTGAATAAAAATGCAGCTTTAGAAGGAGGACATGTATTTACCCAGTTTAGTCTTTGCCATGTTGTTCTGAGATGGCAGTCGACTGAGGAATCCTCTTCTCCTGGAGTTATGTCAGGTTTGCTCCACGCAGTGTTTCCCAACAATAGATTGAAAGCACTTCACTTTCTCTGTTTATGTGACAGCAGCCCACACAGGATACACCCACTACCGGTGTGTCCTTTCTGTGTCCTCCCTCCAAGTCATCCTCTCCTGATCTGCAGGATTCCTGTACCACAGTACAGTATCACATGGTTTATCCTCATGCACCTGCACACTGCACTGAATCCAGCAGTGTCTATCTAAAAATGTGTTTGATTAAATATAGTTTAGTATCCAAACGTTTAATGTATTTTTCTGGTTTTGAGTCAGCCCACGTGAAATATGTGTAACATTTTATACTCCAGCATGCGTTCTTGTATCTTTCTCTCATAATTTCCATGAGTTCCACTCCCAAATTCTCTTTTCTGTTTGTTCTAAATAGATCCAAAACTTCTGATTAACAATAATCAAATTAATTAGAAACTGCAAATGGTAAGGAGGAGGTGGTAAATGGTCTATATTTATATAGTGCTTTTCTTGGCTAGTTTTGCACATTCACCTATACACACATACAGTACAGGACTACAGCAGCGCCTCAGTCATTCATTTTGACTGGTGTGTTGTCTTTCCCTTAGGAGTCTGCTGTGGATGCTGGTGTTCTTGCTTTTCAGTGCAAATACTTTGCACTGATGCACCTTTGCATGCACCTTTGCATGCACCTTTGCATACTGTCCACATGGAGTCACACATGGTTACAGGTCCAGTTGCTGTGGGGATTCAACTGTGTTGTCCTATAGATAGCATTAATTCCATGTTGGGCAATTAATTGGCTGACAGTAAAGCTCTGGTGAAGGTGTTTTCTTCTTGTGCTGTGTTTGAGTGATCATAATTATGCTTATTTTTCTGATAGCTTTATTGCAACTGAGGAGATCCAGATGCCATAGGGATGTGGGCTACTTAAGGCAGTGATGCAGCACATCTGGACCTCTTGTGGCCTGAACAAAATCGATGTGAGCCTAAAGTGGCCCACTTGTAAAATAGCAAATGTGGCTCAAATGCAGTGCTATAGGCAAGGAGTAATCTGGATGTGAATCTAAAGTTGCCCATGTGGTAAACGGTGATAATTGCCCAAATAGCACAAAACAAGGTCAGGCCACTACTGCTATGGTTTAT